TACTAAGCCTTTAATTCAAGTCAACCTGGTCAGTAACTGACCCAGGTTTGGGTTTTGTGGTTACTGTAGCTCCCTGCAGTACATCACCAGTTTCAAATTCCTCTAGCACTCATTTGTACTTAGAGTGGGGTTCGGGTGGCTGGAGACGTTCCCTACTCTCCACAGTAAGGCTTTGCCTCATAGCTTTTACCTACCAGAGGTTTACTATTCATGCTTTTATGCCTCCCCCAGCGGTAGGTTGCTGCTACTAGTTTCCTACTGTTTTGGGGACTGGTAGTTGGGTGGAGACATTCTCTGTTGTGCTATTTCAGCCTTGATCTTAGGCAAACTCTTGTCTACCTGGGTCTGGGGTAAGGCTTTCTCGGTGGTCCTGTCCTTCTCCTGGTAATGGAGGAACAGAGGATCTCTAATGGTCTGATGCCAGGAAACGTTCCTGTACCTCTCTTAGTTGCAGTGAGCCCTGGCGGCCACAGAGCCTGAAGTGTTCTGTAGGGAGGAGGACCTAAGTTGTGTGGTTCCCGTGACTGCTTGCTTCCACAGGCCTGAATCCCCAAGGGATGCTTTAACCAGAATCCCAGTTTGTTCCCAGTCTTTCTCATGAGCATCTGTTGAGGATGAATATGTTGGTGGATACAGACTACCCTTAAGTTTATGGCTTTCAGTGTCTCCGTACTTTCATAGTAGACCATCCTTGACTTTCAGTAAGTTATTAAATATTTTGGCTGAATTCTTATTACCAGCTTATGTGAGGCCTGACATCTCTTCCTCCTGTGGAGGGAAACTGTTCCATGAAGGCACTTGCCTGTTTTTGGATTTCAGGCTAGTTGGCTGCTCTGAGATTTCTGTTCTCATATTAGTTAAGGAAAAGTTATGATTTTATAGATTCAGCTTTTTCTTGAATTTATACTGGGAGTAATGGTCTTTATATTCTTGTGTATCTTAAACCGAAGCTGAAAATGTCTGTGTTACAGATACATTTCCCTAGTACGTAATTTGTTACCTCACTTTTTATGGTATCTTTTATTTACAGAATTTTTTATTTTAATGTACTCAAAATTATTAATATTTCCTTTATGGACTGTGCTTTTGAAGTTAGATCTTTTGCACTCCATAGTGCATAAATATGTTTTTTTCTTGAATGGAAAAAAAATGAAGCCTTTGGGGAGAATATCCTCAAGTTTCTGCTCATACTTGTCAGATCATGCCTCATTTTCTCTTCACCTCCCTCTTCCTCTCATTATGGCAGATTACATCATCTAAATTTTTCCTTGCTCCATCAATCATATTCCTTTCTCCTTAATCTTCAGTTTCTCTTTTTCAGTTATTGTTTTTATTTTCTTTGGATTCATTTCCAAAAGTTGAATTCCTGGATCATATGGTAATTCTATTTTTTAAATTTATTTGAGGATCTTCCATACTGTTTTCCATTGTGGTTGTACCAGTTTACATTCCCACCAACAGTTCCCATGAGGATTCCCTTTTCTCCACATTCATGGCATCACTTGTTAGCTCTTGTCTCTTTGATGATGGATATTAGTGCTTGCTTCAGCAGCACATATACTAAAATTGATGATGGATATTATAACAGATATGAGGTGATATTGCATTGTGGCTTAAAATTGCATTTCTCTAGTGATGTTAAGCATCGTTTCATTTACCTATTGGCCTTTTATATATCTTCTTTGGAGAAATATCTATTCAGATCCTTTGACCATCTTTAAATTGGGTTATTATCATTTTTTGATGTTGAATTGTATAGGCTTTTTATATATTTTTGGATATTAAACCCTTATTAGATATTTGGTTCACAAATATCTTTTTCCTATTCTACAAGTTATCTTTTCACTTGGTTGATGGTTTCTTCTGCTGTGCAGAGGCTTTTTACTGTTATGGAGTCCCACTCATTTATTTCTGCTTTTGTTGCTTATGCTTTAGGTGTCATGTCCAAAATTCCATTACCAGGACCTATGTCAAGGAGCTTTATTCCTATATATTCTTTTGGGAGTTCCATGGTTTTTTACATTAAAGTCTTTAGTCCATTTTAAGTTAAATTTTGTGAGTGATGTAAAATAATGGATGTTTCATTCATTTTTAAAAATATTAATTTGAGAGAGAGAGAGTGGGGGAAGGGGCAGAGGAAAAGAATATCCAAGCAGACTCCCACTGAGTATGCAGCGCACTGTGGGGCTTGATCTCACAAACCGTGAGATCAGGAGCTGAGCCAAATCCAAGAGTCAGATGCTTCATTGACTGAGCTATCCAGGCACCCCAAGTTTCATTCTTTTACATGTGAATATCCGATTATCCCAGAACTAACTAACTAGCTATTTATTTATTTATTTATTTATTTATTTATTTATTTATCTATTTATCTATTTATTTATTTATTTATTTTTAAAGATGTTAAAGATCTCTCCTGAAATCTAGACCCATATGTTCAACTCTTTTCCAAAAACAATGTGGTTAGAACTGAACTCAACATCCTTGACTAAAATCCCTCCTCTTTATACTCCAGACAATTTAGTGGTCCATAATTTACTGGTTTTCATCTGAAATTCCTGTCTTTCATCATCTCAATTCTAAATTGCATCTAATTCCATTACTAGGGCTAGGTAATTTTATTTAATAAATAGCCCTTTACCCTATTTAATAATTTTCTTTGGAATCCAGAAGCTTTACTCTAGTCATCTGTTTGTATTTTGACCTAGAACTTCTTTATTATTTCATTTTCCTAGAATATTAAAATGACCTTTATGCAACTTGGTTTCCTTTATAAGTTGCCACATTTTAGTACATTCTCTACTTTGACAGCCAGTAAACTTTCTAAAAAATAAAATGTAATCAATATACAATAGGTATATTTAATGTGGCTTCTTTGTGCTCTGAGAATTAAGTTTAGTGTCTGTGCCTGACTTTTTAAAATATATTTGTTGTATGTAAAAATTTAAATCTATTCTTGTGCATGATCTCCAAACAAAAAAATTTTTAAATAGACAGAGAAAGGGAACTATGGTACTTAATCATAGGTAGATGCTGTATTTACCACCTAGAAAATGCAGTGGTCTTCTAGAGTTTTTCTAGTAATATAACTGATTCATTCTGAGGAATGTGCCTTGTTAATAGTTGTCAAATATCAAAATTTTCCTCAAATGCAACAAAAGTAGAATGAAAATGAACAGAATCATAACAGGTTGTCATATGATCCGTGTCTTATGTATTTGGCTTCATTCTCTGTGAATTTGAAGTTTTCAGTTTTAAATGATGAAATCTGCCTAAAATGGCACCATGTTAGTGTTTGTAGGCATCTTCAGTCCTTTCCAGTTGCCCAAAAGTGAACACTCACCTACACACAGGGTTGACATTTATTTTATTAATTTTTCACTGTAGTGTGTTGAGCTGTTGTTTTGCTAGGATTTAAGGATTTATCCATATTGTCTTATTCAGGTCTCTAATTCAACTTTTAAGGTAACCAATCAAAATTAGGGGTTGGGTTTTTGGTAAAGAAGTATAGGGAAGTTAACAAAGTCCTTGTATCCAAGTCCCATATGCATGACGGTCTTTCATAGATGTTACCCCACTAATGCTAATGAATTTGTCATAGGTTCTTGATAGAATACAGTTCCATGAATATGTGTCTGTCCTCATCAGAAAAAACTTGCAAAAAAATGGAAAACATTATTTTAATGCAGAATATAATTTTCAAAATGATGGATTTGGTCTAATTGATAGCACAATGGCCCTTTACCCCAGGCCTTTATTCCTGGTTGTGTCCTGAGAAGCCAATGTGTATTTATCTGCAACCTTATTATAATACTGCCCAAAAATTCAAGATGCTTTCTGGATTTAATTTTTGTGAGATGATCTTTAGAAAGCAGAGCTGAATAACAAAGCTCCTTTGTTAAAACAACAAAGACTACGGCTGTGGGTTAGTGAAGTTGGAGACCAAATCATTATTCCAAACCGAATTTGATTATCACTATCTCTTTAAACAACATTGAGCAGACATTTAAAGATTTATTATACATTTTAATTCAGGTGGTAACTTGATTTAAAACAACATTGATTTTTTTTTTCTAATTCGTTCTTGGTCATATATATCAGGTTAAATATTAAAATGAATTTGAAACTATTTGAGGTTGTCTGCATAGGGTATTAAATTCCTGGAAAGGCTTTCTTTCCCCCATGCTGATTTTCATCATTTTACTGTTACTTTCATTCCCCACCCCCCTTGAGCTTTAGCTTTCTAGAATTATTATTTATTCTTTTCACCATACACCCTGATCATTAACCAATTAAAACTTTGTCAGGCAGAGAAGCAAGAGACTCTATGGATAATGATGAGGTTGGAAACTCTATTGTACAACTTGTTGGCTCGTATTGGAAGAAGAGTATCATGTCAAATTATCCTTACGTGCTCATGAATAATGTTCTAATAAGGGTGGATGGAGAGATGAGCTTAACGGGTAGTTCTAATGGAAGGAATAATAATAATCTCCACCTTGGTAAAACATGCTCATGCCTTGACAAGATGCTGTCTGCTCTTGCTGCTAAATTAGATGCATCTTAAGTTAGCAGACCCTATTGTTATCTACTGTTTTACAGAATAAACTAGAAGAGATATTATACACCTTTCAGGATTTATTTTTTAATAAATTTATTTTTATTGGTGTTCAATTTGCCAACATACAGAATAACACCCAGTGCTCACCCCGTCAAGTGCCCACCTCAGTGCCCACCACCCAGTCACCCCCACCCCCCGCCCACTTCCCTTTCCCCCACCCCTAGTTTGTTTAGAAGTCCCTCACATGACCATAAAATAATTGCATAGAGAATACCCATTTAACTTAGAGTCTATGGCGTATTAACTGGGTGGATTAACCTTGAAAATAGAGTGAGATAGGCAGGAAGGAATTTGCAGTTTCTACCTGTCTTTAATTCTTAGCTTTATACTGAGCTCTGAAGTAACTAAGATGTTTGCTGTTGCTATTTCTTAAGTGCAGGATTTCAGCGTGGGATATAGGCCTTTAGTGTGAAGATACATTAAGCCAGGAATCATCGTCAGTGACATTTAGACACGAAAATTTGGAAGATTAAACAACTGTGAAGGTTGATCATGGAAATCAAAGAGGAAGGAGCATCAGAAGAAGGCCAGCACTTTCTTCCCACATCCCAGGCAAATGATACTGGGGACTTCCAGTTCACAAGTAAGTATGTGTTCCTCTCTCTGTAACTCTCTGAAAATGCAAATTAGGTCGAGTAAACACACATGCATGTGTAATCACAGAAAAAAACGGCATGAAATTGACTTTGGTTTGCACTATCTATTTTGTTATAGTGAGTTTGCGGTGTGCTTCTCACTTTTTATCTTGAGTGAGATAGATAGATAGTCTATGAAGTGGTTAAATATCAAGTAGTAGATTCAAAGTTCTTAAATATGTAATAAGACACTAATACTTTTTAGGTACACCTCCTATTTAGCATTTATAATCTCATGTGGAATTATCTTTTTGAACAAAGAAATGTTCTCTTTAAAATCAAAAAGCATGTAAGGTGAAAGCACTAGGGCACAACAGCTACCGTAGACCTGTAGATTGCCACTTCTATACGTGAGAGCGCCGAGTCACATGAATAGAGCAAGCTCGGAGAGCTGCCGAGATTTGCATTCGGGCATGAGAATTGGTTTTTATGTTGGAAATATATATATTCCACAGTTGGAATTCATCCTCGGACATCTGGGTGGCTCATTGACTTGAGGGTCTGCTTTCCGCTCAGGTCATGATCACCGGCCGTGGATCCAGCCCTGCATGGAGCCTGCGTCTCCGTCCCTGTGTCACTTCCTCTCTCTGTGTCTCTCATGAATAGATAAACAGAATCTTAAAAAAACAAAACAAAACAAAAAAAACCCTCTCGAGTTTAGATCTTATTGTTTAGTGTGAATTGTGTCTTTTCTTTCCAGAAGATTCCTGTTGGCAATTTTTTTCTTCTTTTTTTTTTCTTTTTTCTTTTTCTTTTTCTATTTTTTCTTTTTCTTTTTTTTTTCCTTCTGGCAATTGTTTTTAATACTGTCAGACATAATGCCAAACTTTTCCTTTAATTTACATTATAAAAATGATCTTTAGAAAACGGTATTAGTTGGATGAGTTTTCTAAGAAATTTGGTTGTCAAAGCTTACAGAAGTTGTTAATAACTTTTAAAAAAAATCTACACTTTTTGAAATGAACAGAGATCTACCTAATGATTATCACTCTCATCTCTCCTGGAAAGTCTAAAATTTTTAACCATGGTAATGTTAAATGTCAGCAGGAGAAAAAAAATAAATGGTTACCATGCAAAAAATGTTCACCTTGTAAATAGATGATTTTATGCAACGAGGTGCTTCTAACAACAAGGTAGTAGTAAATTTAAATTGAATAAAGTAAACATACCAGTAGAAATAAACCAGAGAATGATTTTGGTGACTTCTAACATTTATCATCAAATGACTAACTTTCACATTAATTTTAGTTTTGCTTCTTTGGCCACCCATGAATTATAATAAGTGGCATCCAGGTCCTCCTGCACTTTTGTTTGGGAAGCCCCCGGGCTCTGGTATCCGTGGTATCATGTTGCTCCGCGTTATCACTTGCCACAGCCTGACCTTGCCACCTTCTAAATACCGCGTGTTCCCATGTCCTTACCTTTGGTCTCAGACCTGCTCTCCACTCCAACTCATTTAGCCATGTTATTAGATTTCTTTTTTTTTAAATTTATTTATTTATGATAAATAACATAAATACACACAGAGAGAGAGAGAGAGGCAGAGACATAGGCAGAGGGAGAGGGAGAAGCAGGCTCCATGCACCGGGAGCCCGACGTGGGATTCGATCCCGGGTCTCCAGGATCGCGCCCTGGGCCAGAGGCAGGCGCTAAACCCCTGCGCCACCCAGGGATCCCTGTTATTAGATTTCTTAAAAATCAAGACAAAAACATATAGAAAGAAGAATTATCATAATTATCAGAAGAATTTTGTGAGTTATCAACAACTTGACGGAATAACCACCACCATAATGTCCTTCATCACCTTACTAGAGGTGGCTCTTTAATTAATAATTTACAATTTACAACAGGCTGCAGTGGTTTGAGAGAAAAATCTATATAAGAGAGTACTTTTGTGAGCTCCTCTTTTTTTTAGGATTTTGCCTCTGTCTACATGCATCTAAAAGAAAATATGTCTTAAATTTGTCAAAGCTGGAAAAAAAAACAAAAAACAATTTTTTTCAGTTTCTTTATAGCCAGAGAGTTAATAGATCCGTCAAAACTTTAGTCACAGTTAGTTCTGCTACAAATATTATGTCCTCCCTGAGAACCACCTGCTTATAAGTCTGGACAATTAACTGAGTGAATTCTTTATGCCAAATAATATATTTATGCGTTCTGGTCAGGGTGAAGCATAGCAGTATGTGTTGACATATTTTTGGTACTGAGTTAAATATCCTTAATCTGAATTCTTGCTCATTTTTTACAGGTATTCAGAAGACTCCAAATGAACCACAGTTGGAATTCATCCTCGGTAAGGAATTCCATCTTATTTGTACTGATAAATATAGTAGTAATTTGGATACATAGTTTACAATCTTAGGTGGCCTATATCCTTATATCATTGCTTCTATCGTTGTATAATTTAAAAACTTTTATGAATATTGTCCTATAAGAAACTTTCATTCTTTAGGGTATGACTTTGAGGTCAGTGGCAGGATGGGTAAAATAGATAAAGGAGATTAAGGGTAGACTTATTATGATGAGCACTGAGAAATGATATGAAATTGTTGAGTCATCATATTGTGTACTGCGAATACTACAGCCCTGCGTTCATTATACTTCAGTTTGAAAAAAAAAAATAACAGAACTGAGAGAAAAAAAAATCATTCTATGTGGTGTTACTTTCCCCAATTTGTAAGTAAAGACTCTAAGCCCTCAACCAGCAGCTGACTGCGAACCTGGTGCCCAGCACCTGACCCAGTGCCTGGGCTCCGCGGCCAGTGGGCATTTCTCGACATCCCCGTGCTGTCTGCTCCTTGAGCTGAGCCCTGGACTCGTGTAGGTTTTCCTTTTTGCCTCTTAAAAAGTTCCAGCTTCATTTCAACGTCACACACTCAAAAATCCCCTTTCTGAAAAAAAAAAAAAAATAAAATAAAATAAATAAAAAATAAAAAATAAAATCCCCTTTCTCTTCCATCTTGATTTTCAGGACAGATCCTTAGTATTTGAGAATTTAGCTATAATTCTAAACTTTGACTTGCTTAAGGAACTTTAAAGATCCGTTGCGTGTAGAGATTTATAGCTTTGTCCGAGGCTGAACGAAAACGTGTGCTCTGGGGCTGATTACTGCTGAGCTAGTGAGTGGCACCTGCTTTGTGTCTGAATTTGGTGTGACTGCAAAATGTCATTAGGAAATTAGCTGCAAGATGGTATGGAAAGAGGGCAAACATATGGTTCCTGTGAACCATTTAGAGACTTTTTTTTTTCTTCTTAGGGTTCTAAAATGTTTTGAAAGCTCACCAATATCTTCACATTTTACTTGCGATGAGGTTTCATAGAATCATACATATAGGTATTCAATTTCATATACAGAGACCAGATACCTAAGTCTTTAAATATTGATATACATGTTTTATCAAGTTATGGGCAGGGGTGGCCTGAGTGGCCCAGCGGTTTAGTGCCGCCTTCGGCCCAGGGTGTGACCCTGGGGTCCCGGGATTGAGTCCCATGTCGGGCTCCCTGCATGGAGCCTGCTGCTCCCTCTGCCTGGGTTTCTGCCTCTCTCTCTCTCTCTCTCTCTCTCTCTCTCTCTGTGTGTCTCTCATGAATAAATAAATAAAATATTTAAAAAAAGTTATGGGCAAATTGAAATATATACATTTACTACCTATAGTAGTTTTCAGTGGTTTGAAGTTTCAATTATTCCATAAATATACATTTCCATTTTATAACAAAATAGATGTCAAATTTATAGTCTTTGCTCAAAATATTACATTTTGAAGTGTAACTTACTGAGATAATAACTATATATACTTTTTTGTTTTGTTTGTTTCTTCTAAGAGTTTATTTTTAGAGCAGTTTTAGGTTCCCAGCAAAACTGAACAGAAAGTACAGAGATTTCCCATATACCCTCTGGCCCCATAAATGCATAGCTTCCCCATTTTCTGTATCCCCTGTCAGACTGGTACATTTGTTACAGTTAATGATGACATATCGTTGCTCTAAGTCCATAGTTTACATTTGGGTTCATTCTTGGTGTTGTGCATTATATGGATTTGGGTAATGTATAATGCCATATATTCATCATTAAAGTATCATGCAGAGTATCTTCATCGTCCTAAAAATCCTGTATGCTTGACCTATTCATTCCTCTCTCTCCTAACCCTTGGGAACTACTGATACTATTTTACGGTCTCCCTAGTTTTGTCTTTTCCAGAATGCCATATAGTTAGAATCATACAGTATGCAACCCTCTGAGATTCGTTTATTTCAGTTATGTGCATTTAAGTTTCCTCTATGTCTTTTCATGGCTTGATAGCTCTTTTTTTTTAGCATTGATTAATATTCCAATGTTTGGATATAGCAGAGTTTATTTGTCCACTCACCTCCTAAATGATATCTTGGTTACTTCCAAATTTGGGCAATTATGGATAAAGCTGTGTCCAAGTTTTTGCATGGACATACATTTTCGACATCTTTAGGTAAATACCAGGGAGCACATTGTTATATGGTAAGAGTATGCTTAGTTTTGGTAAGAAATTGCTAAACTGTCTTGCAAAGTGGCTGCACCATTATTGTGTGTTCCCACCAGCAATGCATGAGAGTTTCTGTTATTTTACATCCCCATCAGCACTTAGTGTTGTCAATGTTCTAGATTTGGGTATAATTCATTTTTAAACATTTTATTTTTGTTACAAGTATAGCTAAAAGGTGCTATAAGTTAAGGATCCGAGATTTTTTTATTTGCCCAGGTATTGAGAAACAGAAATGTGAAAACTGAAGCAACTTCTGTGTTAACACCAAAAAAGCTGTACCTTTTTTTTTTTTCTAGAGAGTTCTCAGATGGTAGCAGATACAGAAAGAACTTGTTTCAGAAAGGGAGTGAGTAGCAAAAGAAGCCTTGGTGCCTCTTGACTCACTGTAACTCTTGCTACTTGAGCCTTTATCTATTCATCTTTCACTTTTAAGAGTTTTTTTTTTTTTACTTTTTTTACTAGGATTTCAAAGAATGAATACTTGTTGGAGTAACTTGATGTATTTCAAAACACAGATAAGGCCTTATTTGCATCCTGGAGAACAAGGTAAAATGTGAAGGAGGCAGAGACAATTGGAGGAAAGGCTGTTAGTCGAACATGGAGGCCAACTTTCAAGAGACAGGGTGCCTGGGCCAAATACATATCTTCTTTTTCAGATAAAATTATCCATCTTGTTCAAAGACCTAGCTACTTTTTTTGTTTTGAAAGCCAAGTCAAATTCAGTAGCAGTGCTGTTGTCACTTATATTTCTGGCTTTGAATCATAGATCTAAGAGACGAGCAGCTGTGAGAATTTATTCATAATAATATCCCTCCCATAAAAAACACATCAATTTTCTTTTCTCATATTTATTCAAAAAAACCCACCAGAATTCTTAACAACAGATAATTTTATCTTATCATGTGGCAAAAAAAATGCCTTACAAGTAAACAAAGTTATTTAGATTCTCTGGAAATCGTGCTGTTGATCCTGGAAGATATATTCCCCAAACTGTTTGTTATGCTTCTGAGAACTTTAAAATCCTCAATTGTTGTATTTCTTGAGAGAGAAAAAAAAAAAAAAGAAAAGCCTTTTTAAGACTTCTTTTTCAAGAACGTTACAATTAAATCTATGTAGGTTCCACCATTATATTTCTGGTACTTTTTGAGTTTTCTTAATCCCACAAATTATTTAAGACCTCGCCTGCTAACTAGTTAACTTCATAACTAATAATGAGAGAATACTAGTTTCCTAAATATTTTATCATTATTATCATTATTAATAAATGTCATTATTTAATTTATCATAATGATAAATTAAAATCATTTATCATTACATATTTATTTAATCAAAAAGGCACAGCATCTTAATATACAAAATTATTCAAAAAAAGAATGAAACAAAGTAGGAGGCTTCTTTCCCACCTAAGTTTTCAACTAAATTTTTGATATTTGATTCCTGATTCTTTGCCAAAATATCCAAATAAATTGAGAATTTCAACAGATACACTAACTTTCCCATATTGCTTTGTATAAGTTACTTTCCATTGAAGATTTGTTTCTGTCTTGCCTGTACGTCATTGTGAAATCACTCTATCTGAAGTGATTGCTGAAGTTCTCTGCTACACCCTTATTCGAGTAACTGAGGTAAGAGATAGTCAGTGGAGCAAGCTAATTGGTTAAAAATGTCTTGATAGGACAAGTTCAGCATTTATCTGAATAACAAGTGAGTATCTCAGGTCCATTGTCAACCGTATTTCTAGCGGTTTACTGAATTTAAATTGTGTAACTCACTCTTACATCTGCAACTCTGCTTTCACATTTTTCCTTTGTTTCATTTAAATGTGTTGCTACCCTTTTTATGTATGAGATATAATACATATATTATTTTTATGTATTTACCCTTTTTTATGAGATCTAATTGAAAACCCAAGAGAACACAGATTTTTCTTACAGTTTAATAAAATTGTTCCTGTTTTAACAAAGTCAGCATTTAAGAAGAGAAATCATGGGACACCTGGGTGGCTCGACCGATTAAGCATCTAGCTCTTGATTTCAGCTCAGGTCATGATCTCAGGGCCCAGGGATAGAACGCTGCTTAGGGGCTCTTGCTCAGGGGAGAGTTCGCTTGTCTTCCTCTCTGCCCACTTCTCTCTCTCTCTCTCTCTCTCTCTCTCTCTCTCTCTCAAATAAATAAATAAATCTTTAGAAAAAAGAAGAGAGGTCATTTCCTAAAGCTGGGTGCATTTCTTTTGACACTATTGAGGAAAATATACAGAGAAAACTAATCTTGGCAAAGATAGAACTTTCTATAGACTATTTAAGTTTATCCTCTCAATTATGCTTACAATATTTACTTTTATATATATCCATTTATTTTTTTTTATTTTTTTAAATAATAAGTTTATTTTTTTTTATTGGTGTTCAATTTGCCAACATACAGAATAACACCCAGTGCTCATCCATTTACTAACTCCAAAGTCAACAGAATACTTATGAGTATGTTTTCACATTTTATGTGGATACTACATATCATATATCCAAATCCAAATAGGCTTTAATGTATATTAAGACAGAAAGGAGAGATGGCATGTGTGACGTGCGTGTGCGTGTCCGTGCGGGTGTTGTCCTTGTGTTCTTTCTCTGACGCTGTGAGGTTATATTCTTAAAGTAATTTGTACCTTGATGGCTGATACCTAATGGAAGCCAATGACCAGATAGAGGGTACATTGAAAGACATATTTCAGGCATGTCAGAAGCCTCCGTGTCAACTATGACAGGAAAGTAAAGACATGGAT